TGCAAGTTTAGTGGCACTTATCATTATAAACACCATGCATGTTAGTAGTACATGAAGCAGTTTTTTTTAACTTTTTTTTCCACGCGACTTGACTTATGAGTGAATATTGAGTGATATGCGAAAGGGAAGCACTTCTTAAGTTTACAGTTTGTTTACACTATGTGATCAGTTCATCCATAAGTCATGTTAGGGCTTATGAGTGTGAAAGAACTTTTCTTGAGTTGATTCTTACATTCTTAAGATTTTTTATACATTAAGGACAAGCGAAAAGGCCAGGGAACGATATTAACACAACCTGTAAATTGTCGCCTTACAGTTTAGGAATAAAGGTAGCCAATGGAAAAGCCTTTACAAGCGGCTATCTGAAAATGAATAAAGAGAACATGCTCATTTTCTTTTTTATCTTGAGGGATTATCTTTAAGCATTGTACCCATTTGAAAAAATAAGTGAATTCGACACAATATCCTCCTTTCGATGTAGCATCCCAAATAAGGTTAACAATAAAATTAGGCAAACAAAACAGAAATACATTATCTTAGAATGCAGAGAACTACATCTATATGCTTACTCCTAGCGAACGTTACCTAAGAGAATCTACTTATAAACGTTTCTTTTAGAATTCATTTTAAATACAAACATAAATTCCTTTCTGTTTTTCTTTAGTAGAAAAGGTAATAAAAGTAGAAGAACCTTTATGTACACACACTTAAGAGTGGGAAAAGAGCGATGTTCCAGCTGCTGTGGAAATGGCACCTTTAAACACATCCACTGATTTTTCAGTTTTACACTAGCCTATGAAATAACATGACATCAATTTATTATTTATTTATTTTTTTCTTCTTCCGAGAAAATGAAAAACACACATAACAACAGCCAAGAACTTTTCTTCTTTTTTTGAAGGGTTTAGAAAAAAATATATATTACATGTGCTTGACATCCTAAACAAAATATAAAACAACAAAAAAACAAAACTAATTAAAAACAACATATTTAAGCCACATATATATTCCTGTTGAGGAAACATACATAACGCGGTGTTCAGTAGCAATACATATTTGCCCCACAGAAGCTGGAATTTTTCTTCGCGAAAGAGTCAGGTTCAAGACATGTGCAGGTCGGGGGCAGAGGACAAGAGCCCTGTCTACACCCTAGTGAAGGCAAGAGAGGTGTACCAGCCTCCGAGTTACACCCTGCCGGCGTGGGGCGTCGCCTACACCAGAAGGGGTAAAATGGGACACTATCAACCCCTCCACACCTCGGTCTACTGTAGCATGTACAAGTCTCATCTATGAATTGAGCAATTGTCATTCGCTTATATCAATAACAGATTGTGATAGGGTGTCTAATAGGGAGTCTATTATTAATAGATATCTAAAATTTAATGATATTTGGTGGATCTTAGCCTCGTCTGACTGTTTTTAAAATGTGTACATTTAATGTGATTTCGTAGTTATGGGAAGATTTCACATACATTCTGATCTACAATATTTATGAAGATTCCTACCATATCCTGACAGTATGACTCCGGTACTACAACAGTGAAACCTCGACATAGGTAACTAATCCATTAACACTAAAACAACAGCGAATATAGACTATATTTTGAATCTAAAGAAAATACTGGTCCAGTTAAATTACACTAATATTCAACAGAGGACAGACTAATATAGTTTCGAATTTCCATAGCAAAAATAATATACTCTTCTTATAAAACAAAATACAGTTAACTGATCCTACATAACCTGCTACTCTAAAATTCCAAACTCCTTGAAGTGTCGAGGTGTGACTGCTAATTACAACTGCTCTATTTTGACCTACTTTGATACTATAAAGGAGTGATAGGATAGAACTTGTATATGCTATGGTGTTTATTAAAGCTTAAGCTACCCCTGAAGACATGGGGTTAATCATTTACATTCAATAAAATGCTACGAACCTATCACCTAGATCTGTGGCGACCGTGGAAGAGAAAGGCTGTCTACAATCGACTTTGGGGTTCCATAGTCTACAACTGAATAAACATCTTATTTTGTCAGGGGGGGATTACAGAGAGACATTTTCTTACACAGCCCCACAGAAATTACCTTACGTCACAGCGCAAATGACCGTTAAACCTAAAATAGTGGTTGCGTTCACAATGAATGAATGCTCAGATAGCTGCCACTGCACGGCAACTTCTACGCTCGGTCCTGAAGAAAATTTGATATCGAAGCAATAATATCATGCACGAAGTATAACTGCATACTGAGTACATATATATGATTTGTTTATTTATTTATCTATTTTTGCTCACCAAAGAATTTGATGCATTGTATGAAATACTGGAGTCTCGTGTATCTGAACAATTCACCATTGGCGAACGCACCCACAAGAACAGAATGGCAAGTGGTGTGTTGGTAAAAGTGATGGAACTCTGCCCTTAGGGTCCTAAGATTTACAAGTACTTCACAGGTCCTTGCCAGCTATATTAAGACATCCTTCTTTAGCTTTGCCTCACAATCAGCAGTACAGTCACGTGATAACCACAAAACTTGTTATTGTTGTATATTTTTGCTTGTTTGTTTGTTTCTTTCAGGATATATTTGACTTTCACCTCTTGCGAGAATTTTTATTTTTAATTCTTATTTTGAAAACTTGAAATAAATAGATAGAGAAAGAATTATCACATGTGCGTTTTCCAATTCACAATGTTCCTTTTTTTCCGCTATTATTTCCATTTTTTTATTAATTAAGGCGGTAGTTACCTCGACTGACTTCTTACACACGCCGTCGCTCCCTCTCGCCTCGTCATGGTCATTCAAAGACATGCGATTTACTAAAAAAAGTTCACGTATTTGATCAATTACGTGAATTTGTTTCCCACGGCTCGTTTTCTTATTTTGTTTTGTTTTACACTCGGAGCTGTTCAATGTTATTTTTTCTCGAAGATAAAAAATTAACGAGATTTGCTTTTCTTGTGCCGTTGTCGACTGAACCAATTTGTTTGTTTTTTTGTTTGTTCAGTGTGCCATTAAAAAAAAAAATAATTCTTGTTATTTATATTCTATATCCCGACGTCGTCATATAACATTGATTACTTAGTCAAGCTATCTATACTGTGCACCAGTTGGCGAATACCGAAATCGTATTTAATAAAAAAGAGGAGTATATATATATATCAATGAAAAAACGGAATTACTTAAGAGAAAAAGAGTTTTCATAATCATGAAGCTTTGTATGTTCACGTCAACATTATACGCTACACGGTTAATTTTTCAATATATATTCATTTGCAAATTTTCGAGAGTCGGCCACTCTGCTGGGCCACGGAGCAGAAATGAGGTAAGACAAGAAGATTTAGCACCATCATAGAAGTGGGTAAAATTCTGTTGTATGTTGTGTCCAAAGTCATTTTTTAAAAAAGATCCTGGAATCCGTTATTTTTTTTTTTACTTTTTTTTCTCTCCATATTTATTTTCATTTCCGTTTATGCAGGATTTGATGGCATTAAATAATACAAAAATAAAGTATTTTTTTAATATGTTAATTACATGTTTTGTTTTTTTGTTTTTTTATTTTAAACTATAGAGTACGGATGACCCATTTCTCTATTTAGTAATATAGGTCCGCATCATAGATATTTCAAATGTTCGTGTGTACTACTTTACTCAAGTACTAAATATCAAATAAATATTATATAATTACAAATGACATACTATAATATTGTTAAACTAGCAACCATTTGACTGAATGAATGATCTTGAGAGACATAAAATATTCTGAAATACAAAAAGGACACTTCGGACAGGGCACGGGTTTGGAATGCTGTGCTGGTGAGCGCCGGCAACTATTTCCGTTTTCTTCGTTTTGAAAATTTAACGGTTTTTTTTAGGGGGGGCTATTTTTTTCAATTCTAATTGATTTGTTTTTTTTCTCTAAGTTGGGGGATTGGGGTATTTTGTATTCGCGGGCTTGTTATTTCTTTTGTCTATCACGTATAGATTCTCATTTGACTAATTCAAATGGATACATATATATATAACTATATATTTTCTGTTCTTTTCATTGTGCTTTGGCTTGAAGCAAGAAATCTATATACATATCATTAAATACGCTGAATTATCATTTTCTATCTGTTTAATTGTGCTTCTTAAAGAAACATTTACTGACTTACTTTTTGGTATATACTTTTTGATATGGATCTGCTAATGATCATTCTTGTACGAGTTCCCAAAATCAAGTATGAAAAAAGTTTATAAAAAAATAGAAAATATACTTCACATGATCAGAGTTATTTATAAATACATAATATAAAAGTAGTCAAAAGAAGTGGTTAGTAATTACACTATATTGCTGTGAATGTCCCTTATTGAACAGTATTTATGAAAATGCCACTAAATTCACAGAATAAATGTTGATCTTTATTTCAAATATGCATAGATTCGTCTCATCATCTCGGATATTTAACTCAATCAGCCAAGAATATGTAATACTGCAGGAAATAATAATAATAGTAATAGTAATAATAATAAAAATGACAATAATAATAATAATGAAACTAAAAAATAAAAAAATAAAATATAATAAATAAAATCCTAACTTTACAATCACAAAAAATAAACACATGTAAACAAATACACAACAAATTATTTGCATTTTTTATCAACAGAAAAAAAGTTGCGAAAAAACACTAGTCGGTTAATAACCAAAAAAAAAAAAAAAAAACTATAGCATCTGGGTAACTCGTAAGACTTCTTTCAATGAGAAGGTCATCTATTTCTCTCTTATTTCGATGAATTACTACCGTTAACACATATTACACATATTCACTTTCCTTGCTAACTGGAAATTTATCGGAAACAGAAACATTATCAGTTTTAAAGCATAAACTACAGAATGCGTGTGCATGCGTGTTGATTGTTCAGTGGTGTGTGTGTGTGTGTGTGTGTGTGTGTGTGTGTGTGTGTGTGTGTGTGTGTGTGTGTGTGTGTGTGTGTGTGTGTGTGTGTGTGTGTGTGTGTGTGTGTGTGTGTGTGTGTGTGTAGTGTATCAGTGTATGTGTATCTGTGAGTGCGTATCCATGTGTGTATGTGTGTGTATGTGTGTGCGTATGTGTGTGTGCACGCGGGCGCTTCTTTGGTTGTCACAATAATTTGGATCTTCCACTTTTCTGCCTGCATGTGGCGCATTCTAGTTCTTGTGCGATAGATGATGTCTTCTGTGAGGTATTTCAGGCCAAATTCTATACAGTGTTGCCAGAACGATGATTTGCAATGAAAGATCTCGCGATAGTCAAGACCGGCCGGCGCTTCTTCGGCTTGCCTTCAGGGTGGCAAAACTTCGAGACACGTAAATCTTATTATTTAAATTATCACCGCCCTTTCTCTTTCCTTTCTCAGCTGATCGGTAATACACACTTTTTATTTTTTTATTAGCTGGTGTGGATGTAGCCAAGCGCCTACTTGAGGTACACATCCGAAGGGAATCAATACTGGTTTGCATCTAATTTCTCTCTTTTTTTTTGTAATTCTTTTCAAGGGGATTGGATCTTACGTACATCCATAGACATAAGTTCTCTGTCGTAGGTTCTCTGTCGATTCTGACTGTTCGAGAGCCACAGTTTCTTCGGATGTTTCGAAGCAAGTAAACTGCTGAACTACACACAAAACTTGAGTCGACGGGACGCGGTTCCTTACTAGTTACGGGACTCGAACGTTAATAGCTTGTTGAGGTGGTGGTGACGGTGAAGGACCGCCATGGTAAGCCCGTTGTCACCAGCGTGGTTATTCCGTGCCTCAAATAACATGGCAGTGGTACAGAAACCTTACATTAACGTTTTATGTACAGCGCTAGACATCAGTATTACAACAGTACACAGTATGCATCCTTACTGATACATGGAGACGTTTTGTACATTTCAAGATAAAATTCTACCTTTTTTTTATTATTCAACTTAAGGTTGTGGTTACTTTTATGTCGTGAAATTCGAATGAGAGACGAAATGAAAGCAGTTAATTAAGTTTCCTTTTGGTTTACTTCAGCATTTATGGGACTATATCTAAATCGCAGAATAAACAACACCAATGTAAAATACTCACTGGTATATTTGAAGGCAACCACTCAAATACGGAAACACATTGTCCATAGTCATTCTCCATTACATAGGTTCGCCACGTGCGGGCGACGAAAAATAAAAATAAAAAATAATTAAAAAAAACTTATATTCTACACTGTACACAAAATAACACGAGTTTTGGGGGGCCATTCTTTCCCGTTTTTAGTCGCATGTTATCATGTCCTGTTTAGGATTATGATAATCCTAGCGTCCCGACCTTCTTCATAAAACTCGTGATACATTACCATAGAATTTCTTTTTACACACATCCACTGAAAACATAACCTCATCTCCGAAAGGATATATCTGTACATAATGAAATCTGGATTGCTCGAAAACCTTCCATGTTTCCTCAGATTTAGATCAACGGTGCTGCTCGAACCCGACCGCGGGGCCGCTTCCACACTTCACTTCACTGTGGTCTTCTTGCTTCACGGGTTGCGGGGAGGGGGGGGGGTCAGGAAGCAAGACTGACGCTCTCCAAGTCTGTCAGTCCTTGAGTACCTCTTGTACTTGTCGAATTTAAAACTTGGTCACCCGAGACTGCGGAAGGTCAGAGGTCAAGCTCAGGTCACAGATGAGGAGGAATGCGCCCTCTCAGAGGCACCTCACCCTCGGAGGAGGAGGATGCTGCCCGACCTCACTGGTGCCTCTTCATGTGGAGAGCGAGGTGGTCCGAGCGGGAGAAGCAGCGGCCGCAGTGGTGGCACTTGAAGGGCTTCGCACCTGTGTGTTTACGGAAGTGCCGCGTGAGTTCGTCGGACCTCGCGAACCGCCACTCGCAGCCCTCCCAGGAACACCGGTACGGCTTCTCCCCTGAAACACAAAGACGAGTTAGAGGCGGGGCGGCGGAGGCACGCGGGGGGTGGGGGGGGTGGGGTGGCGGAGGGGCGGGGAATGGGGGCGGAGGGGCGGTTTACATGAGGGGGGTGGCGAAGGGCGAAGGGGGTGGGAATGAGCGCGTTACATGGGGGGGGGGTTATAGAAATCATATTAAAATAATGATAATAATTGGATGAAATGACAATGGTGGGAATACTGTCTTTATATGGTGATGATGTTATAGAAATCATATTTAAAAATAATGATAATAATTGGATGAAATGACACGTGGAATAAATGTCTTTATATGGTGGTTGATGTTTATAGAAATTATATTAAAATAATAATAATTGGATGAAATGACGACACTGGTGGAAATAAATAGTGGTTAACGTTTACAATTATATTGGAAAATATTAATATATATAAGAAATGACGAGATGGGTGGAAATAAATACCTTACATGGATGGTGGGTGACGTTTACAGAAATAGTATTCAGAAATTAAATTAAACAAATTAGATGAAATGGCGAGACGGGTGGAAATAAATGTATACATGGTGGTTGATGTTTGAGGAATAAAAAGAAAAAAAAAGAACTGTGCAATGACAATAGGCTAGTGGGAATAAATATCCTTACATGGCGGTTGATGTTTACAGATTAAAAAAAAAAAAAAAAAAAAAAAAAAAAAAAAAAAAAAAAAAAAACGGAAAATAAAGAAACAGAATAGAAGGGTGGAAAGATGAGCAACTGGTAGGAATGAACAGCTTGATATTTAAAGAAGGGAAGAAAGATAAAAAAGAAAGAAAAATAATAAGAAAAGGAGGAGGAGGACGGGGGCGGGGTGAGGAGGTGGAAGAAGAAAAAAAAATATATATATATATATATATATATATATATATATAATATATATATATATATATATACATACATATAAAACTTAAAAACGAATTGAAATAATGAGAACACAAAGACAAATTGACATTCAAAATCCCCCAAACATATATTCTTGCAGAAAGAGAACCCGCAAGATAAAAATATTTTAGACCGGTTTCCCTCCACAACGCGGGAAAACATTGAATGCCGTATCCCCTTCGTCGCCAATGAGCTTAACCTTAAAATTAAAATGGAGATTAAACTTATTTTCTTTTCTTTTTTTTAATATTATGTTCACTTGATTAAACTGACCCTCGTTAATCATGGCAGTATTATGTTGTTGTTTTTTATCATTTCGGTGATATGATGCGAGTGAGAGGATGATAGAAAAACAAGGTTAATGACAAGATGTAATCTGAAATATAATGTTATTGAGAAAATAATAATAATAATGATGATAATAATAATAATAATAAAATAATACTAATAATAAATTGTTGTATTAGTAGTGGTAATAGTAATAATAATGATAATAATAATTTATAAAATAATAATTATATTACGATATGATTTGGCAGCCTTAGTATTAGTATTAATACTAGTAATAATAATAACATTATAATGCTACTACTTAAAATTATAATGGTAATAATATAATAATAATAATAATAATAATAATAATCGATAATAATAATAATAATAATAATAATAATAAATAATAATAATAATAACAATAACAATAATATAACAATAAAACCTCAACAACAATAAATACAATAATAATAACAACACCAGCCTGTTCTACCACACCAGAGGGCAGTGTCGACCCGCGGGTGCCTGTGCAGCGAACAAACGCCAATTCTACCCACCACAACCCCAGCATTTCCTAAAACACAACAAACCATCTCCAACTGACCTTCCCACTGCTTTTAAAAAACACAACCCAGGGAACACGTACACACACACACACACATTGCTCCCGTTTCGAAGTTGCAAAAGTGAACGGTAAAGTGCATGCCACGAGTCCGCTGTCTGGACGTATCCGCTTGAAAGAGAGGATTTGGTAATAAATTATCAAGTGGAATTGCTGGGCATGGAGAATCCCAAACCGTAACAGGCTTTGTATAATGTATATGACTGTGCAGAGAGAGAGAGAGAGAGAGAGAGAGAGAGAGAGAGAGAGAGAGAGAGAGAGAGAGAGAGAGAGAGAGAGAGAGAGAGAGAGAGAGAGAGAGAGAGAGAGAGAGAGAGAGGGAAAAAATGTCTGTGAACTGAGTATAATTCTGAAATGCATCTTTTAAACGTATGTTCGTTTTATTTTTATGTGTGGATTTAATTTCGTTATTTTATTTTTGTCTTTTTGTTTCTCGTTTTATTTTGAATTGGTATAATCTATTTTCGTGTTATTGTACTTATTCTTTATTATATATTTTTTGTTTCTGTACTAAATATATAGTCATAACTTATTAGAAATAGCCAATAAATGATTGGGAGAGGGAGATAGGGAGGTAGGAGAGAGAGGGAGAGAGAGAGAGGGGGGGCGAGAGAGAGAGAGAGAGAGAGAGAGGGGCGAGAGAGAGAGAGAGAGGGCGAGAGAGAGAGAGAGAGAGAGAGAGAGAGAGAGAGAGAGAGAGAGAGAGAGAGAGAGAGAGAGAAGAGAGAAGAGAAGAAGAGAAGAGAGAAGAGAAGAGAAGAGAAGAGAAGAGAAGAGAAGAGAAGAGAAGAGAGAGAAAGAGAAAGAGAAAGAGAAAGAGAGAAGAGAAAGAGAAAGAGAAAGAGAAAGAGAGAAAGAGAAGAGAGAAAAGAGAGAAAAGAGAGAAAAGAGAAAAAGAGAAAAGAAGAGTAGAGAAGAGAAAGAGAACGAGAGAGAAGCAGACTAACAGACAGACAAACAGACAGACAGACAGAAGAAGAGCGAGAGGGTGTTTGGCACTACGGAAGACATATCCGCCCCTTCAACCGTGAAAACTTTGCATATACTTTACCCTCCGTTGGGCGTAATCTACCTCGTCTGGTTTTTTACTTCAAAAAATGGCGTTTCCCGTTTCCCTCTTGTGCTTGTTCAAATTTTCTTTCTTTTTTTTTTCTTTTTCTTTCATTTCTGCTTTCTCTTGCTTTTCGGTCTTTTATTCGTTCGTTTCTATTTCTTGTTTCTTGTTTTTTTAGGTCTCTCTCTCTCTCTCTCGGAGCTCTCTCTCTCTCTCTCTC